GCTCAGGAAGAAACTATAAAAGGGAAAGATTAAAATTTCTTGGGTAAATAAATTAAAACCACCAAACCTGATTCAGCAACACTCTCACCTCACACTCACGTCTCACTTTATAACCACAGTACATGTACATTTCTCCACTCCTCTCCTCAGCTTAATCCGTGTCCGCGAGACCCGACTGACGGGCATCCTGATGGGCTGCTTCATCGGCATGTCCCTGTTCCTCCTGCCTCTGCCGCTCAACTACATCCCCAAGGCCGTGCTAGAGGGCATGCTCATCTTTCTGGCCATCGTCTCCCTCAATGGGAACGACTTCATAGAGAGGCTCACGCTCCTCTTCAAGGATCAGGTAAAAGCAGCAGAATACAAAAACAGGGTTGTTGTATACACATGAAGCTGCAGCGACGACCAAGCACATCTCTGCGATTGGCCCAAATATAGATGGCGTATTTCCGCCATCTATTTTTGTCCTTTTCCGGGGTTTTCCCCAAGACTCTTGGGTTTCCGACGCCAGTAACTTTAACTGTGTTTTATACCATACATGGAGTACATGTAGTGCGCTGGTCAGTTTTTTTGGGCATGCGGAGTTATTGGCATCATCTAAAAGCTTGTTAATTTGCCTTGTTTTCGATTTTTTAAAATACCCATCTATCTAGAATAGAAGTAGAGCTATTTGCGATTGTTGGAGGTGGGGTCACCTGGTTTAAGAGGTAAAATGGCCTCCAAAATTTGGTGATTTCCAAAGCTTGAAATTCTTGGATAGCGGAATTTAAAATCTATGAGTGTTCAGTCTTTGCTCCAAATTACAATATTGACTTCTTGGGTTGTCAGCTCGAAAATACGTGTACATGTTGTTCGACTTTTCGACAGGCCAGAAAATGTACAATTAAACAAGATAGACAGTAGCCTTTAATTAATGAACTTGCTGTATCTGATTGTACCATTGGGATTTGTGCATCGAAATAATTTAAAAGATAAAATTGTTTTTTAAATCATTATTATTTGGGGGGGGGTTGGAGTTGAAGATGACTCCTTGACACCTACTTGATACTTGTTAGTGCCCTTTGCAGTTTTGCGTTTGCAGTTGCTCTGTGTGGTTTGCTCCTTTCCAATCAAACATCTGCTGTCGTCCTTTTCCTTCCAGTTTTGTGTTTATTACTCTACTCTCTTGTAACACCTCTAATTTTCGACACCCATATGGCCATGTTATTGTGTTGCCAGTGTCGTAAAACTTACTCAAATTAAAACAAGCCGTGCTGCGAACTGTTGTGAATGCAACTCGCTTGTGTTTCGCACATATGTGACCTTATGCAGTTGCGAGCGCTGTAAAACTAAAACTAAACTAAACTAAACTGAACTAGGCTAAGCTAAACAGAATCTCCTACTAAACTAAACTGTCAAACTCTTACTAAACTAAACCTATCTTTTATTCAGAGCAATTTTGAGATAAAGAGGATTTTTTGCCAGCGTAACCATTTTAATTCTTAAAAAGGCGTTTTTCCGAAATTAAATTTTAATTTATTTTAAAAACTAGTCACAGTTTCACTTTGATTTTGTTCACACAAGTAGGTTACTGTAACTGCTCAGGCTTTCGATTTAACAAATTTTAAAAAATGTGGCTCCAAAAACGAAAAAAAAAATAGACGTTTTGTCAGCAAGGAGGTTAAATAGTTCTAATTCAAATTCTCGATCATGTGATCTTATGCAGTTGCGAGCGCCGTATTTAACTCAAACGAAACTGAACTAAACCTTGGTCTGCCCCCAGGCGACGTTCCCGGCCAACTCGACGATCCGGCAGCTCCCCCTGAGCATCCTGACCAAGTTCTCGGCCCTTCAGCTGGTCCAGCTGGCGCTCATCACCTTCCTCAGCTACAGCCCCTTCGTCTACACGCAGATGTTGTTTCCCATCATGATTATACTGCTCTTCCCGATCAGGTGGGTGGGTGAGTGTGAGTGGGACGTCAGTGAGTTGTTCTACACTTGTGGTGGTGGTAGTAGTAGTGGCAGTGGTAGTCACCGTAGTGGTAGTCACCGTAGTGGAACAATGTAGTGGTAGTGCTAGTATCTGCGTTTGTGGCCATTTTCTTTTTGTCCAAAAGTTCCCAAAAGTTGGCACAAAAAATGACAAAAGTTGCCATAAAAGTTGTCAATAAATTCCAAGCTTTCAACTCTCTGTGACGACGTATGTAGCATGCAATATGTTGATAGAGGTAACTTAATCTAAAGCACCAGAATTTCTTGATCTTCTGTTTTAAGGATCCAGAAAATCGTTTGTAGCTTCAGCACAGAGCATAAAGCAAAGCGTGAAAAATAAAGGTTTCACAACAGAATTAAATCAAATTAGAACAGCACATAAACAAGACAAAAATTAATAAATAAGGGCGTGTGTCCACCTATCCAAAGATTGCTGTTTTAACCCTAAACGTGTGTCATTCAAGAAAAATACAAGATATTGTATGTAAATCATGGAATCACAAACGGGG